GTTTGTTTTTAATTAGGCTATGGTAGCCATTTCTGTCAACCAGTCCAGGAAGCAGGGCCCTCTCACAGTCGGCACGTGACCCGGAAGTCATGACGTCACACCAAAACACATAACATCTGAAACTTCTTGAAGAGGTAGCGTAGCGAAGGGAGGGCACTTAGACTTCGTAATGCAGGATAAGTATACAAATGTAAAAAATATCTAGATTTTACTGAATTTTTTAACTTATCCTGCATTTCTCTGTATTGCATCTTTATCAGACGGCATGGCCGGTGGGCATACCTTCAGATGTGATCCATAATAAACCCTTGTCAAGGTCAGATGAATCCGTACCGCATACAAGTGATGACCGGAACATCTACGACCATTCCTGTCTTCAGGAAACAAGAGTCAATGCAAAAACGAAACACCCAAATAGGAAACCGAAAAAGAATGAGGTGGGTAGCCAAAAAGTAGAACTTACCTAAGAGCGAAAGCAAAACGCAGTAGAGCCCTCTAATCTGAGGTAATAAACACCAGAGAGTTCGACGGGCCCCGCTCTGGGTATCGAAGGCAATATCTACGACCATTCCCAGGACAAAACGCAGGAGAGACCTCTAGTCTGGTGGCGAGGAACACCGGTGAGGTCGACGGGCACCGCTCAGGGTATCAGAGAATCAGTGGCGTTGGCGTCGGCACCAGTGTCAACATCTACTACCATTCCTGTTGTCAGGAAACGAGAGTTGATGCAAAAAGTAAAACCTGGATAGGTGACAGAAATAGAATGAGGCGGGTAGCCAAAAACTAAAACTGACCTAAGAGCGAATGCCCATCTCAGGGTATCGGAGAATCAGTGGCCTCGGTGATAGATGACCTGTTGGGCTACAACCAGGGACCAAAACTGTGAATGCCGGCGACATCTTTCAAGGCTACATCAAGGAAGTAGTGGTTGGCGAAGGCTATGTCCAATTGCCAAGAACAGGCTTCCATGAGCGACTGGATGGAACAGTTATATTGTGAAGAGCCATGGTAAATGCGATCGCCCTGATCTCGTGTGGATTGTTGAGGGTCCAATCCGGCGGCTTTATAAGCTGAGGATGACCACCCGGAGCCACAGGGAAAAGTATACCAACGACTGCGACGAAGGGGAGACCGGCAGAAAAAAGGTGTTTCCTAGACTTGCGGCAGGCTTTAGATCGTCGTAGAACAACCTTCAGTGCCCTTACTGGGCATAATGACACTCCTCCTCATCATCAGCACCCACAATGGACGAAGGGGGAGGAGATAATGAATGATCTATCAGGCTGTCCTGGGAGTTGATTCTTTACGATGAAGTCCCAGCACGGTCCATGATGAACGGCGCCCTGGGTACCGGACACGGGAGACGTCGAGGGCGTGCAGCTCATTGACTTGAGCGGCAGTAGCCAAAACCAGTAGAAAAACCGTCTTCTTCCTTAGGTCGTAGAAGGAAGACGAGTGGAGTGGTTCGAAGGGCATTTAATACCACATTCAGATCCAACGCAGGCGGTCTGAACTTGGCCTTCTTGAACCGGAGGCGGAAAAGCGTACAGGCGTAATCCTTCTCAGGAACAGCTGAAGGCGTTGACTGCCACAGCGGCCATATCCGGCACCGTTGAAATGTAAGTTGACAGCTGGCAGTTCAGAGATGTGGCGAACAGATCGATGTTTGGGGTGTCGACCGTTTGACACAGTCTGGCCCGAGGCGCCGGAGAGCCTTAGGCGTCGGAAATCTTGAGGTGCCGGGAGTGCCGGAGGTGTTGCTTCTCGGGAGCGCCGGTGGAGTTGGTTGCGCCGGGAGAGTGGAGAGTACCCTGGATCCTCAGACACCACACTATGGTGGTGCTGTCAGTGGACATGATCAACAGGGCGTGACCGAGAATTCTCTGCCAGCAAGTGACGTCCTGGATAAGCCTTTTATCTCGAGGCTGTTGCTGTGCCAATGGTGTTGATCTCCGGATCACAGTCTGTCACAACGTGGGCTGGTGTGGGCAATCTCAGAACACTAGCCACTGACACGGTGGAAGTGGCAGTGGAAGAGCGGGAAGTCATGGTATATGAGGTCGTCTACAAGACTGCAAAGTTGAAAAGTCAGCAACAGGGGTTTTCGATCGTGTACCGTCGGGATGATACGTGGAGAGGTGTGCTCGCCTGCGAACCAAACCCCATGTAGACGAAATAAACCAGCTTCACAATCAACTGCCGGGGCATCGACGTAACCGGGTAGTAGGAAGTCGAGGCAATATGTCCAGGAGAGAATGAGGAAATCTGTAAAACTGTGGTTCGGGTAGATCGCACTGTACTGCACGAAGTAATGCGATCGTTTCCATTCCCTGAGCGTCGTATAAGCGCTCCTGTTCTTATATCGAGGTGAAGATGAAGGACGTCAACACGATACTAGGCAAGTAGTCAACAGGGAACGATGGGACGGTCGTGGGACGAAGCATCAAATCAACGCTGTGTCTGGTAGCCAAGGCTGAAGATATGAAGGTGTCGTAGTCTAAAAGATCAAACTGGTCAAAGGAAGGCAATCTTTTCCATCCCTAGAACGCCGTATAGTCGCTATCATTCTTATAGCGAGGGGGCGATGAAACGAGGTGCCTCGCGACAGCCGTGTTGGCAGTGGAGGTCTATTTTTTCCATCATCTGTGCATGGATGGACTGCGACAGGCGTCTGGTTGAGTGGTTGCACCAAGCATACATGTAAGCATGCAAGCCAATCTGTAGAAATACATTGCACTGCTCGCTATGGTCAGTTGACCTAATTCCGGTCGGAGTTGTTGACAGTCCGAGTACTTGACATGTGACATGTAAATCACTCTGGGCAGTAGCAGAGAAAGCCGCATTGGAGCCGGAAATGAGGTGCAATCCTCAATGAACTGTCTGGTAGACAAACAAGTGGTGTACCCGAGTTTTGCGAAAAACTCGGGAGCACCGAGGGCGTAGTGGAAAACCCCAGGGAGTGCCCCAGGGTTGAGCAGCTTTGGTGTCGGCCATGTCGACGAAGAAGACAGTGGATGTCGTCGTCGAGTCTTATACAGACGCTGTCCACCAGAAGCTCTGTTTCGATGGAAACCTGCAGGTTATCTCTCCGAAAGCATAGCGCTTTAAACAACGGGGTTAAGGAGAACGTCTCAGTGGGCAGGTTGAATCAGACCAAAGGTCTATTGGTTGAAAAGATTCCTCCCAGGAAGTAGAATGGGAGAGCAGCGACAGGAGCAGCGACAATTGAAAGACAATTGTTTCACCTTGCTTCTCCGTGTGACAAGCTATGAGATGTCAGTAATAGAAGGAGATGTCAGTGGCGCCGGAGAGGCGATTGCCAATGTCGCCCCTTATGCCAAAGCAGAAGATCGGTTGAGATACTCCGCCTGTTGATCTGAGCTTGTTGAAGCTTGTTGATCTGAGCGCCGGGGGGCGCTGGAGAGCTTGAGGTGCCGGGAGCGCCGGAGAGCTGGAGGCGCCGGAGATGTTGCTTATTGGGAGCGCCGGAGGTGTTGGTAGCACTGCGAAACTCGGCTAACGTGGCTGCTGTCAACGTAGATGGCTGACGAAAAGGAATACCCGTCCCGTTACGGGCGTCACCGGAAGGGGTCTTTGTTTTGTTGTCGATAAAGGTGACGGCAAGAGTGTAGAAAGACCACAGTCTCCGAGTTGTAAGCCATATCAGGGGGTCGACGAGCACGTTGAGTGAGGTGTGTCCTGGATACTCGTATCGAGCTGAAGGATCACAGCAACGAAGGACTGCAACATCGGCACTGCCTTGTGAAAGTACAGGGTGTCGTACAATCACGGCAGAAGGGGCGGCCCCGACCAGATTTGTTCCCGCGGCAGAAAATCGGGAATTTAAGCAAAACATAACCATGTGTCAAAACCACAAAGTGCGGGAAGCATAATGTAACTGAAAACTTTGTATTTTATTGAAGTTTATGAGAGCAAACAATTACGCTAAAAGGTAGCGAAAAGGCATAGCTTTAAGCAAACACATAACCATGTGGCAAAACCACTAAGTATGGGAAGCATAATGTAACTCATAAACATTGTATTTTATTGAAGTTTATGAGAGCAAACAATTACGCTGAAAGGTAGCGAAAAGGCAAGGCTTTAAGCACGCCAAAAACAAAATACATAAATTTAATGTATTACCCAAGCCAAAGAGAGAATTCAAAACGCAGAACACGAAATTCCGTGGCCACGTGGTGAATGGCAAAAATGGTGGGAAAGAAGCAAAATGGCGGGAACAACATTGTGCCCGTAAATACTGTGACTTGAGCCACAAAAGAGCGATAAAACTATACAAATTACGAATGGGAAGACCCTAAGGTAACAGCCCATAACAGGTAACAATGTAGCAGCATGCAACGAATGTAGAAACACGCAAAATATAGAAACAATAAGCTTTAATTTCCACAAGGGATACACAGTACGTCCGTCCGTGGAGGTGACAAAGCAGTTATGTGTTTTGATGTGACGTCATGACTTTCTGGTCACGTGCCGACTGTGAGAGGGCGCTGCTTCCTGGACTGGTTGGGACAACTTTCTTCAACAGCTGGATCCCACACAGTTCAGTTCTCTGTCAAAAGACAGCAGTAGATGCTGGTTGGTTGGTTGGTTGGTTGTTTTACGCCGCACTCAGCAATATAACAGCTATATGACGACGGTCTGTAAAATAATCGAGTCTGGACCAGACAATCCACGCAATTGGGATCAATGACCTGCATCAACCAAGTCAGCGAGCCTGACCACCCGATCCCGTCAGTCGCCTTTTACGACAAGCATAGTCACCTTTTACGGCAAGCATGGGTTGCTGAAGACCTATTCTACCCCGGAATCTTCATGGGTCAGATGCAATACGGAGTAATGCAGGATAAGTTAAAAAAATTAAAAGTTTTGTTTGTTTGTATGGCTTCAGAGTCGAGCCACACTAACTTCTGAACTATGGACTAGTTTTGATAAAACTATTACGACAAGTAGAATTATCCCCCAAATATAAGTTGATATACCTGTTAGTGGTTTGAGGCATCCAATCTGCTCCAGCTCAGCACGAACATCAGCTTGCAATATTAAGTCTTTGTGCTGGGGACAATGGCCAGAGATCTGTTGTCTGAGTTCTTCTACCAGCCACACAGTGCGGGACTCATGCTCCAGGCTAGACACTGCTTCAGACACATGCTGAGATCTTGTGAGCACTTTCTGGCCATATGATAAGGAGTGCATCAATATCTTGGAGCACAATTCACCTGTTGTCTCATGAACATTGGATCGATTAACAAACACTATATGAGGGATTGAAACAGAGTACTTTCCATGCTGTCTGTCATTGGCATAGAACATTGTGCGCACTTCATCTTCTTTGTCCTCCTCGTCATTCAGGCTGAAGATGCCATACACAGCAATATGAGCCATGTTCCCAACGTAACTCTGTATACTATGCAGCAGTTGTTCCAGACGAGCGATATCAGTGGACATGTTGGTGAGTATTTTCTGTGAATCAAATGCAACGATGAAAAGGCTATCCCTTGTGAACAGATAGTGACTGCTGTGGTGAAAGAAACTGTCGTCCTGAATGACAAAGAGTTCCACATTGACACTGGCTCCATCTGCCCCACAATGAACACAGCCACTCGAAGTGCTGAAGTAGCCTGTCCCGTTTAACACTCTATGCTGGTCCCTAGGTACATTTCTCCGCTGTTGCCATATGTCTACTGACACTTTACTATTGTCAAACTTCAAGGAAAGCTTCACCAGCCGTGTATGCGTGTCCTGCATTATGGTAGTGCTGGCTGGACTTCCTGACATTAGCATGTTAGCCAGATGATTGGCTGCATTGCCACATATGAATACTCTTGAGCAAGGAACTGTCCCATCTGTGGGTGTAGTTGGACTGCTGCTTCCTTGGTGATACAAAGGATTACTGTTATCTTCAGGTGAGTGTGGTGGGCTATGATGACTTACATTGGAGGCTGCCTCATTCCCACAATTCTTACACCAGACTTCTAGACTGTGTGGACTGGTCACTCCTCTGAATTGGGGCTCACAGGTCAAGCTGCTGGGTGACATTCCATGCCCATCAGTGGTCTGTTTGTCAGAATGTCTCCAGTACACAACCCTCTCCACAGGATCGTGCTGACCTTGAGGTCCCAGCCACACAGGGCTGACACTGGTGAGAACAGGTCGACTGTTGGGGCACATAGGCATGCCAGGACTTGGGCTGAAGTTGACATCTGATACACCTCGTCTTGGGGGCATCTTCAGGGGGGGCATTTTTGGCTTCAGCTGCTGCTGCTTCATAATCTTATCAGCGTGTTCCTGAGCTTTCTGAAGGATGCCCTCAGGCCTCTGGATGACCAAGCGCACTTCTGTGAGGTCATCAAAGTGAGCCCGATGAGCCTGTCACAAATATAAAGGTACTTACAACAAATATACATGGAATACAATCACAACAGTGCCATGGCACTGTAGCTCAACTGGATAGGTAATAGTTTGAAATGTCAACAACAACCAAACATCTTAAAAACTGTACAATGTAGAATGAAGCATGGTTTATTTCACGATAAAACTGCAGATAAATGCAGTTGGTGAACAATTGCATCCAAAAGTGGGAGAGATATCACAATCCGTATCAGAAAATTCCAATCTGTTGTATTTGAATAAAACATACAGAGAATGAAATATAATATTTTTCTTTACATTTTGAAATAAAAAACAGTACAAATAATGTTTGTGATTTGATGAAACTTCAACCATGTCAACCAAATAATGAATGCTAATAGATTTTAGGAAAAAGAAAATATGATGCAAAGTTCTTTGCACTGCAATGGTCAATGTCGGGGTTACTAGGATTCCCAGGGTCATGTACCTCTTAGTGTCCTTCAGAATAAAGAGACCATTCTTTGAAGTGCTATACATGATAGGAACCTAACCATTGCCTCAACAACTGAAACAATGGATATTTTGGATTTGACTGGCCAAGGGGTAGTCACTGACACACTGTCAAATTGTCTAAATGCTGGCCCATCGTCTGTGTACAGTTTTCTCCTGCATGAACTTGTTTTCGCTATTTACTCCTGTAACAGCAGGCATGCGATGACTATTAACACCACTGTCACAGGCTAATTTGTATATCATGTGGTCAGACTTTTCTCTTGTTTGTAAACAAAGACACTTATTCTAAAATCAGAAACAGATGGGCTAAATGCAACCCTTTTGTAGCTCATTAATTATTATTTAGCATAATTATTTAGATATATTACTTAAACTGCGACAGTGAGGTGCATGAAAATATATCTTTATGCATCAAAGTATCCGTATTGCTAGCTCTCTGTAGGGCTTCAATGACAGCACATGGAGTGCGCAGCATCTTTAATGGACTGTGTAAGATGTGACAAACCATCATATGGCACTGACCTGTGGCAGAGGTACTTTGCTGGGCACATGGAATTCTAGGTAGGAGTTTGGGTTGCATGGAATTCTGGGTAGGAGATTGGGCCGCATGGAATTCTGAGTAGGAGATTGGGCCGCATGGGTAGAAGAACGTGTTGTTTTACTTGCAGTGATGGGTCATGCACAGCAGTCAGTACCTCATTGTCACTAATTATGGACAGTATCAATGTTTGATTTGACTACTGGTATTATTTCATCAAGTAAATGTTAAACCGCCACTTTTTCCTCCAGGAGGGAACGGAAGGCCTGTCAACTTTGAGACACAGCACAAGTCACACATTTGACCTCATAGGGGCAATTACACTCTTTATGTAAACAAAACACAATCACTTGTCTGATAAGGATACTGTATTGCCATAGTCAGCTATATGATGCCAAGAGTTTCAATACTGTTTTATGCTTTAGAAATTTTTTAATTTTCCCCAAAGAAATTAATTGCAGTTTTAGAAAGAATATCAATGATCATATATATACAAAGAGAAAAATAACAAAGTCAGTTCGCCACCACTTGTGTCCCATATATGGCTCATTTATCTTATTTGGGTATTTTGTTCGCACAAGTGTCAACACACATTCCGGCATTATTTGTCTGTGAAGGAAGACAACATGCTCCTCATCACCCAGTCTGATCTTCTTTTGAACATATGCTGGTATTTTCCACCCGTTACAGTTGTCAATTATTTTCCAGAATTTATAGTAGAGAGCCTTTCTGATGGTGCAGTTATTAGGGCTTGGAGGGAGCGCATGTCCCATGGGACTCCCATCCATCTGGCTGTTCCGTTGTGGGTGGCTACACAGGGTTTGATAAAACAGTAGGGGCATGTGCCCTCCTCCATTCCATTGTCACCCTCGGGATCTGGCTGATTAGCAATGTCCTGTTCCCCGGGAATAGGGGAGTCCACTTGAATTTGTTCAATGACATGTGTATATGCTTATGTTTTGTAAATACCGTACATTTTTTGTTATTGTATATATAGTGCATGTAACTATTCTATAAACTGGCATGGTTATAAGGAACATTATTTGGTGATTAATGTATATAAGTTATTTGATTAGGATATGCACTTTGACTGGATATATTCTTATTATGCAGTTTCATTATTATCAAATTTGTAGCCCACATACCTGTTGTCCTGCGATGTTCCGTAGCAGCCATATGTACAATATGCAGCAATAACACATATTCACCACTAATGAACTGCAATATGGTACGCAAGTTGTTTGTAGTCAGCTTCTAAATGTATTTGAATGATTTTGATTTATTGTGATATTTAATTTTGACCTGACATGAGATCATGCCCCTATAGCCATATATATATATGCTGCTGCACCAAAGCAATTACGTGTTGCCTGCTAACTCTGACTATTCTGAGCCGGGGCACAATTCCTTTGATACACATTTATTTATATGCCATTGGTTTTGCTGAAGAAACTGTATTTATCGTAATGTACATAATACATAGACATAATTTAGAAGTGAGATCTGTTTTGTTATATTTCAATTGTTTTAATACGTACACTTGTTATAGTGATACATTTACTCAAGCCAACAAACGGAAAGAAAGTATTGTGTATTTAGGAGATTTCATTATGTTATGCTGCCTTGGACCTGAGAATTGTTCGCAGTCACCAGCTAAGAGGCAGAGGGCCACATGACCCCTTATCCATAATTGTATGTGGCAGAGGAATGTAATGTTAGAACATAAAGTGGGAAGCCGATTTGGGTGCTGAAAGGCTGTAACTGGCGGTTTAAGGCATCAAATGTTGTGATTTTGTGCTAATAACCAATTTGTTGAAATACTACACTTGCCTGAAATAACAATCAACAAATTATCAACAAATATTAGCTATATAATATGTGTAGAAATTGTTACCTAAAATAATTCATCTAATTGTACTTGCAGAATTTGGATCAAAATTCCATAATGTTTCTGGCCAAATGATAATGGTTAGCATCTCTCTTTGTACAAATGGTCTGTACAGACACATGGGGAACCATCAACACCAGACCTGGACTGTGCAGACACATGGGGAACCATCAACACCAGACCTGGACTGTACAGACACATTGGGAACCATCAACACCAGACCTGGCCTGTACAGACACATGGGGAACCATCAACAACAGACCTGGACTGTACAGACACATGGGGAACCATCAACACCAGACCTGGACTGTACAGACACATTGGGAACCATCAACACCAGACCTGGCCTGTACAGACACATGGGGAACCATCAACAACAGACCTGGACTGTACAGACACATGGGGAACCATCAACACCAGACCTGGACTGTACAGACACATGGGGAACCATCAACACCAGACCTGGACTGTGCAGACACATGGGGAACCATCAACACCAGACCTGGACTGTACAGACACATGGGATACCATCAACACCAGACCTGGCCTGTACAGACACATGGGGAACCATCAACAGCAGACATGGACTGTACAGACACATTGGGAACCATCAACACCAGACATGGACTGTACAGACACATGGGCAATCATCAACAACAGACCTGGACTGTACAGACACATGGGGAACCATCAACAACAGACCTGGACTGTACAGACACATGGGGAACCATCAACAACAGACCTGGCCTGTACAGAGACATGGGGAACCATCAACACCAGACCTGGACTGTACAGACACATGGGGAACCATCAACACCAGACCTGGCCTGTACAGACACATGGGGAACCATCAACACCAGACCTGGCCTGTACAGACACATGGGGAACCATCAACAACAGACCTGGACTGTACAGACACATGGGGAACCATCAACACCAGACCTGGCCTGTACAGACACATGGGGAACCATCAACACCAGACCTGGCCTGTACAGACACATGGGGAACCATCAACAACAGACCTGGCCTGTACAGACACATAGGGAACCATCAACACCAGACCTGGCCTGTACAGACACATGGGATACCATCAACACCAGACCTGGCCTGTACAGACACATGGGGAACCATCAACAGCAGACATGGACTGTACAGACACATGGGGAACCATCAACAACAGACCTGGCCTGTACAGACACATGGGATACCATCAACACCAGACCTGGCCTGTACAGACACATGGGGAACCATCAACAACAGACCTGGCCTGTACAGAGACATGGGGAACCATCAACACCAGACCTGGCCTGTACAGACACATGGGGAACCATCAACAACAGACCTGGACTGTACAGACACATGGGGAACCATCAACACCAGACCTGGCCTGTACAGACACATGGGGAACCATCAACACCAGACCTGGACTGTACAGACACATGGGGAACCATCAACACCAGACCTGGACTGTACAGACACATGGGGAACCATCAACACCAGACCTGGCCTGTACAGACACATGGGGAACCATCAACACCAGACCTGGACTGTACAGACACATGGGGAACCATCAACAACAGACCTGGACTGTACAGACACATGGGGAACCATCAACACCAGACCTGGCCTGTGCAGACACATGGGGAACCATGAACACCAGACCCGGACTGTACAGACACATGGGGAATCATCAACACCAGACCTGGACTGTACAGACACATGGGGAACCATAAACACCAGACCTGGACTGTACAGACACATGGGGAACCATCAACACCAGACCTGGACTGTACAGACACATGGGGAACCATCAACAACAGACCTGGTCTGTACAGACACATGGGGAACCATCAACAACAAGGCAGTGCAGCTCACCCTTGTAAAACCAAACACATAACATCACCAGCTTTGATATTCATCAATAGCCTGATATTAGGTGGATTTTTACCAACACAATAAAAGCCTCAAGCAGAAACACATGGCTGTATTTGACATATTATGACTACTTCATTCAGTTATAACCCTTTCATAATCAAAGACCATCACCTTAGAAACTCACTTTGCAGTTAAATTAATCAAATCACACACAAAATTCACTTTTGGAAAAGAGGGACACCTGAATAAAAAATATTTCTCATGTTGAATAGGAATTACATTTTTATGTTCCTGTATGTTCAATGACCACCCATATTCAAAATGAGAGAAAAACTGAAACCAGCTCCAATTGCAATGATGGAACTGTCCATGCTTGCTGTTACCTCATCCCGCCTCTGCAGAGGGTGGCGGTTGATGGATTGTATCCAATCTCCAACAAACAGGTCATGTGATGCAGCTACTGACCCTGGTTCTATGGCCTCCACAAGGGTATATATCTGTGATGTCGCTTCCTGGACAATGCAAAATACATGACATATTATATAAAAGGAATGAGTGGGGGAATGTTGTTCAAAGCTGAATATATAAACAACATCATGGCAGTCAAATCTGGGCTAGGCCAACCCACATAATCAGGTCACAATGACACTCTACCAACCAAATCACCCACATGGACAAGCCGATACATATCAGTCAACGCCTAGGACGTGCATATATTACTTCAGACAATCATGTGTATAGAACATTCAGGGTGTGTCATGAGGTGCAACATTCAGGGTATGTCATGTGGATGAACATTCAGGGTATGTCATGAGGCGCAACATTCAGGGTATGTCATGTGGATGAACATTCAGGGTATGTCATGAGGTGCAACATTCAGGGTGTGTCATGTGGAAGAACATTCAGGGTATGTCATAAGGCGCAACATTCAGGGTGAGTGAGTGAGTTAGTGAATATTGCTTAACGCCGCATCAGCAATTTTGCAGCTATTCGCGGCGAGAAATGTCTTTTTCATAATCAGATATCAACCAATAGAATAAAAGTGATGTTGAAAATCACTAAAATCTCAGTCATATATCACATTCAGAGGTAAAAAACTGACTGTTCAGGTAAAAATCTATATTTTATCATAGAGCTTGATTTCCTTTAAATACGCTAAAATCAAGTGATTAGAAACTGTGGTAAAAAGTTCAGATAAGGTACGAACATTATCATAAAAACGTTGCCTGACAAGTGCAAAATCAACACATTCCAGCAGAATGTGTTTCATAGTAAGAGGGCTATGGCAAGGTATACAAAAAGGTGGATCTTCACCCTTCAATAAAAACGAATGTGTATAATAACTATGGCCAATTCGGCACCGCTGTAAAACAACCTCATCATGACGATGTAAACCAGAACATGCGTGACCTCCAATCTGTGGTTTGATAGCATGAAGTTTGTTCATAGTCTTGGTATTCCAATTTTTTTGCCAATGGTCATTCACATATTGTCTGATGGAAGGTTTTAGATCAGAATAAGGGAAGTTTGTGTTTGAAATTTGTTTATTTAGAGCGGCTTTTGCCGAAGAATCTGCTTTACATTTACCACTGATGCCAACATGACTGGGCAGCCAACAAAAAATTATATCTTTTCCAGCTACGGATAAATTGAGATGACATCTTAAAATGTCAGCTAAAAATGGATGATCCACTTTTCGATTTTTGATGGCCTGTAAACAGGACAAACTATCAGATAATATGAGAAAACTGCTTTTAGAAGACTGTTCAATATATTGCAAAGCTAATAATATAGCCTGAGCTTCTGCCGTAAAGATCGAACTTCCGTCAGTAATACGTATAGACATAGTATAATTGTTAGCAACAGCTGCAGCAGACACCTTTTCATCATCTTTTGAACCATCAGTGTAAATACTGGTATAAGAGGAATATCGGATCTTCAGTTCATGAAATTCTTGTTGATAAAATAATTGATTAGTGTCTGACTTCTTCAGGTTCGCTATTTCTAAATTAACATCAGGTTGTATCGATTGCCAAGGAGGCATTTCTGAGATTTTGTATTCGGCAATGGCAGATAGATTTAAATGGGCATCCTTGATATGGGATTGCATGCGAATTCCAAGTGGTGGGATTGTGTTTGGTTTTCTGAGATATAAATGCTGATATGGAGCATTGAAGATATTGTTAAATGCTGGATTAGAAGGATGGGAGCGGAGTTTAGTGATATATTGTAATGCCAGTTTTATTCGTCTTAAGCAAAGACAGGGTTCATTGGCTTCCACATATAGACTGTCAATTGGCGATGTCCTAAATGCTCCAAGACACAACCGAAGACCCTGATGGTGAATAGTGTCAAGTACTTGAATGTATGATTTACGAGCTGAACCATAAATGAAGCAGCCGTAATCAAGTTTAGACCTTATCAAAGTTCTATAGAGATGTAATAGTGTTTCTCTATCACCACCCCATCTAGTATTTGACACTACCTTTAAAATGTCAAGCGCTTTCAAACATCTAGCTTTAAGATTTTTAATGTGGGGTATGAATGATAACTTTTGATCAAAGGTAAGACCCAAAAACTTGGTTTCTTTGACCACTTTTATTGGTATTAGTATGAGTACCAATGTCAATAATGCAACATTCAGGGAGTGTCATGTGGAAGAACATTCAGGGTATGTCATGAGGCGCAACATTCAGGGAGTGTCATGTGGATGAACATTCAGGGTGTGTCATGTGGAGCAACATTCAGGGTATGTCATGAGGTGCAACATACAGGGTATGTCATGAGGTGCAACATTCAGGGTATGTCATGTGGAGCAACATTCAGGGTATGTCATGTGGAGCAACATTCAGGGTATATCATGAGGTGCAACATTCAGGGAGTGTCATATGGAAGAACATTCAGGGTATGTCATGAGGTGCAACATTCAGGGTGTGTCATGTGGAAGAACATTCAGGGTGTGTCATGTGGAAGAACATTCAGGGTGTGTCATGTGGAGCAACATTCAGGGTATGTCATGAGGTGCAACATACAGGGTATGTCATGAGGTGCAAAATTCAGGGTGTGTCATGTGGAAGAACATTCAGGGTATGTCATGTGGAGCAACATTCAGGGTGTGTCATGTGGAGCAACATTCAGGGTATATCATGAGGTGCAACATTCAGGGAGTGTCATGTGGAAGAACATTCATGGTATGTCATGAGGTGCAACATTCAGGGTGTGTCATGTGGAAGAACATTCAGGGTGTGTCATGTGGAGCAACATTCAGGGTATGTCATGAGGTGCAACATACAGGGTATGTCATGAGGTGCAAAATTCAGGGTGTGTCATGTGGAAGAACATTCAGGGTATGTCATGTGGAGCAATATTCAGGGTATGTCATGTGGAGCAACATTCAGGGTATGTCATGTGGAGCAACATTCAGGGTATGTCATGAGGTGCAACATTCAGGGTATGTCATGAGGTGCAACATTCGGGGTATGTCATGAAGTGCAACATTCAGGGTGTGTCATTTGGAAGAACATTCAGGGTATGTCATGTGAGCAACATTCAGGGTATGTCATGTGGTGCAACATTCAGGGTATGGCATGTGGAAGAACATTCAGGGTATGTCATGTGGAAGAACATTCAGGGTATGTCATGTGGAGCAATATTCAGGGTGTGTCATGTGGAGCAACATTCAGGGTATATCATGAGGTGCAACATTCAGGGAGTGTCATGTGGAAGAACATTCATGGTATGTCATGAGGTGCAACATTCAGGGTGTGTCATGTGGAAGAACATTCAGGGTGTGTCATGTGGAGCAACATTCAGGGTATGTCATGAGGTGCAACATACAGGGTATGTCATGAGGTGCAAAATTCAGGGTGTGTCATGTGGAAGAACATTCAGGGTATGTCATGTGGAGCAATATTCAGGGTATGTCATGTGGAGCAACATTCAGGGTATGTCATGTGGAGCAACATTCAGGGTATGTCATGAGGTGCAACATTCAGGGTATGTCATGAGGTGCAACATTCGGGGTATGTCATGTGGAAGAACATTCAGGGTATGTCATGTGAGCAACATTCAGGGTATGTCATGTGGTGCAACATTCAGGGTATGGCATGTGGAAGAACATTCAGGGTATGTCATGTGGAAGAACATTCAGGGTATGTCATGTGGAGCAATATTCAGGGTATGTCATGTGGAGCAACATTCAGGGTATGTCATGTGGAGCAACATTATAAAACTATGAAGATCTATAAGGAACTAAACGTGATTACCTGGTATTATATGAAGGAAAGATGAATCAACCTCAAATGAAAGAAACTAAATGCTAATTCTAACAGTTACTCCTAAGGGAGTCTTAACACTGTCTAACACTGTCTAACACTGTCTAACGCCATCTGTCTAACCATCTAACCATCTAACCAACGAACTCTCTAACGAACTCTGGCCAACTTTCTAACCATCTAACTAACCATCTAACGAATGGTCTAACGAACATTCTAGCGAACTATGACCAAGTCTCTCTCTCTCTCTAACCATCTAACTAACGAATTCTGACCAAGTAACTAACTGATGCGCGCTACCGCCTTATATTTGCTCACAACCCACACATTTCACGTGCAGTCACAGCCATACGTTGGTGCGTTCAGGCGATGCGATCGTTATGCATCGGGTGCGTTTTGGAGAACATATTCTTTATTTAAAACTAACACGAGTGCACGTGAAGCGCGATCTATAGGCTCCGGGTGCGTTTTGGAGCACATTTTAATGAACAGACATGTCTTCAGAACATGCCCCCCTCCATGATAGATCCATGTCTATCATGAAAACCGACTAAACTTAGAAGAAACTGAAAAAAGGAATATGAATCTATGAGTATGTACAATTTCAGAACTCAACTCCATTCAAGAGGGCAGACCTTCGTGATAGGTCTTTTCAAGACTGTTTTGCCAACTTGAACATCAAGAACGCGAACGTGATCATCCTTTCCAGGATACGTTTTGAGAACTCTGCCAAGAGGCCAAACTCCACGAGGAGTATCTGGAGATACCACAATGACAACGTCATCGACCTGTATAGCAGTAAATTGTGTATCATGATACATATCGAATCGAATCGTAAAGCAAATATCGTGATACGTATCGTATCGGTTTCAATGTGTATCGTCACAACTCTAATGTGGTGCAACATTCAGGGTATGTCATGTGGAGCAACATTCAGGGTATGTCATGTGGAGCAACATTCAGGGTGTGTCATGTGGCTGAACATTCAGGGTATGTCATGTGGAAGAACATTCAGGGTGTGTCAGGTGGAAAACATTCAGGGTGTGTCATGTGGAGCAACATTCAGGGTGTGTCATGTGGAGCAACATTCAGGGTATGTCATGTGGAGCAACATTCAGGGTGTGTCATGTGGAGCAACATTCAGGGTGTGTCATGTGGCTGAACATTCAGGGTATGTCATGTGGAAGAACATTCAGGGTGTGTCAGGTGGAAAACATTCAGGGTATGTCATGTGGAGCAACATTCAGGGTGTGTCATGTGGAAGAACATTCAGGGTGTGTCATGTGGAAGAACATTCAGGGTGTGTCATGTGGAAGAACATTCAGGGTATTTCATGTGGAGTAACATTCAGGGTGTGTCATGTGGAAGAACATTCAGGGTATGTCATGAGGTGCAACATTCAGGGTATGTCATGTGGAAGAACATTCAGGGTGTGTCATGTGGAAGAAAATTCAGGGTGTGTCATGTGGAAGAACATTCAGGGTATGTCATGTGGAGCAACATTCAGGGTGTGTCATGTGGAAGAACATTCAGGGTATATCATGTGGAGCAACATGCAGGGTATGTCATGTGGAAGAACATGCAGGGTATGTCATGTGGAAGAACATTCAGGGTGTGTCATGTGGAAGAAAATTCAGGGTGTGTCATGTGGAAGAACATTCAGGGTGTGTCATGTGGAGCAACATTCAGGGTATGTCATGTGGAAGAACATTCAGGGTATGTCATGAGGTGCAACATTCAGGGTATGTCATGTGGAAGAACATTCAGGGTGTGTCATGTGGAAGAAAATTCAGGGTGTGTCATGTGGAAGAACATTCAGGGTATGTCATGTGGAGCAACATTCAGGGTGTGTCATGTGGAAGAACATTCAGGGTGTGTCATGTGGAGCAACATTCAGGGTATGTCATGTGGAGCAACATTCAGGGTGTGTCATGTGGAGCAACATTCAGGGTATGTCATGTGGAGCAACATGCAGGGTATGTCATGTGGAGCAACATTCAGGGTATGTCATGTGGAGCAACATTCAGGGTGTGTCTTGTGGAAGAACATTCAGGGTATGTCATGTGGAGCAACATTCAGGGTGTGTCATGTGGAAGAACATTCAGGGTGTGTCATGTGGAGCAACATTCAGGGTGTGTCTTGTGGAAGAACATTCAGGGTGTGTCATGTGGAAGAACATTCAGGGTATGTCATGTGGAAAAACATTCAGGGTGTGTCATGTGGAAGAACATTCAGGGTGTGTCATGTGGAAGAACATTCAGGGTATGTCATGTGGAAGAACATTCAGGGTGTGTCATGTGGAAGAACATTCAGGGTGTGTCACATGGAGCAACATTCAGGGTGTGTCATGTGGAAGAACATTCAGGGTATGTCATGTGGAGCAACATTCAGGGTGTGTCATGTGGAAGAACATTCAGGGTGTGTCACATGGAGCAACATTCAGGGTGTGTCATGTGGAAGAACATTCAGGGTATGTCATGTGGAGCAACATTCAGGGTGTGTCATGTGGAAGAACATTCAGGGTATGTCATGTGGAAGAACATTCAGGGTGTGTCATGTGGAAGAACATTCAGGGTATGTCATGTGGAGCAACATTCAGGGTGTGTCATGTGGAAGAACATTCAGGGTGTGTAATGTGGTGCAACATTCAGGGTGTGTCATGTGGAAGAACATTCAGGGTATGTCATGTGGAGCAACATTCAGGGTGTGTCATGTGGAAGAACATTCAGGGTATGTCATGTGGAAGAACATTCAGGGTATGTCATGTGGAGCAACATGCAGGGTGTGTCATGTGGAGCAACATGCAGGGTGTGTCATGTGGAAGAACATTCAGGGTGTGTAATGTGGTGCAACATTCAGGGTGTGTCATGTGGAAGAACATTCAGGGTATGTCATGTGGAGCAACATGCAGGGTGTGTCATGTTGAAGAACATTCAGGGTATGTCATGTGGAGCAACATTCCAGGTATGTCATGTGGAGCAACATGCAGGGTGTGTCATGTGGAGCATGTAAGTGCCATAATATGCACTGCAAACAAAATTAAAAGCTATCACATCATAAACATGAGTAATCTACAGTGAAAATGGTGGCTCCCCAACATAGTCTACTCACCTGTATTTTCACCTTCTTAGTTATGCCAAATGATGCATTAGTTCCCCTGTTGAGAGTGATGGTCTTTGACATGGGATCCCATATGACAAACTGGGGAACCTTGAAGATCAGCGAATGCCACAGACACAAATTCATAGTCACATTGCAGCTTTTGTTTTTACAGCGACGTACGCTAAGCTTCACTGCCCCAATTCCATTGTCACATCCATGCCTCGCTGATGGCCTGCTCCCATTTACCACAGGCAGAGAATGGATTCTCTCCCCATCATCAATTTCTATGCCTGTGAACATTACCCCAAGAAATATTTAATTAACATACAAAACATGGGTTATTTTCAAAGAAAAAAACTAGTAGAGAATTGAAAAAAATATTAAATATCAGTTTTCTCCCTAGTAGAACTTCCTAAGTTGGTAATTTGCATTCCTTGGTACTAAATGATGTAGGTGATATATGAAATTCATTTCACCTGGATATGTGGTCAACTGTTCCAAAGACCAATGATACTTTATGCATACACACTAATAATAAACACTAAAATTAAAAAAAAATAAAAAGATATGTTATCATTGATCAGGAGAAACATACATGCCAAAGAACAACTCACTCAGACAGGCAATTTCAGGGAAGAAGAAGTTAATAAGGAGAAATATGCATTTTGAGACAATAATGGTCAAACACTGTCAACATTTTAAATACTGAAAAACAAACCCACTACTAACTACACCTGTGCCAAATACTGTACATATTTTACAATTGCTGAGTAATTCATGTGTCATTGCTGGTGGGAAAATACACATAAAATTTCCGGAAATCACAGCTACGAAATTTGGCGTGTTCCAGGGGTGTCCCAAATATTAATCAAATATTACCACCAAGCGGTGTTACTTTTAGCATGCAACCAAGAACAAAAGATGAGGTTCATATGTCCAAATAACTTCGTGTCAACTTTCAATAGTTTCTGTGAAGACCCTTACAAGATATGATCTTTAAAGTAAAATTTCAGAGAAAAAAATCATCAAAATCAAAATCCAATAGGGCCGTCACTAAGAAAGATATCCAAAAACGGCTAACAGAGTTTGATGTGTTATGTATGGAGACAATTCTCAGATAGTTTGAAATCGTTTCATGAAGTGGGTTCAGAGGAGATTGGATTTGAAGACATATACCCAAAATACCCAGTGAAAACCTTGAATCCAATATGGCTGCCAAACTACGTGACCAATGACCAAAGTCAAAGAACAAAAAATGTCAAGGAACTGAAGCAGCAGATACATGAAAGGTTTGAAAGTAATCGGACAAGCGGTTGCAGAGCAATAGGGCGAAATACATCTTAAAAAAATACTTGTTTTTCAGTTATCTGCCCTTGGCCATTGGGGCTACGGCCTTGGGATTTAGGCGGAATCCAGTATTCAACGGTCTTCATACACATACAAAATTTGAACATAATCCAGCCAGTGGTTATTCTGCTAGCTCAGGTACAAAAATCGGCGGAATAATATTAATATTGAATCGAACGATAACACTAGGGCTCTTCAGCCTTTCGGCTTGGTGACTCTTTAACAGGCTGTACATTCTCTGTCATTTGAGCTTCAGTCAAACGGATCAGCGTTCTGTCGCGTTGCTTAGATAAAATGCTGAACCTGTTTCCGACCTCGTCCATGTTCGAATCCCCAAATGGTTTGGTTGTACAGACGCCGTCAAAAGTTAGGAAACGCTTGCGAGACATCACCGCTACGACATTGATGTGTCCCAGAAAGTCCCGGGATGTTCAACACCCATTTCAGACGCCGGCCATGTTCGAGTCCACATATGGTTTGCTTGTACCAACGCCGTCAAACGTAGGGAACCGCTTGTGAGACATCACCACATGGGTCCCAGTGAGTTCTTAACCCATTTCCGACCCCGAATCCTCATGTTCGAATCCTCAAAGGGTTTGCTCGTACAAACTCCGTCAAAAGATAGTCACCGTTTGCAGGACATCACCGCTACGAAATTGGCGTGTGCCAGAGTTAACCAGAATGTTCTAAACCCTTTTACCACCCAGACAATGTTCGAATCCCGATAATCGCCTCTGAAGACAAGCATGGGTTGCTGAAGACCAATTCTTACCCTCATCTTCAAGGGTAGTATACATAATGCAGAAGACACTTGACAGTGAAAGGGAGTTAATCCTAGGTTTTCTGAGTTATTTATTCACTATTTTGGTGAAAAAAATCATCAAAATCAAAATCCAATAAAAATGATATCCAAAATCGGTTAAGGCAATTTGTTGTGTTGTATATGGAGACAATTCTCAGAAAGTTTGAATGGATTTCATGCAGGGGATTCAGATGAGTAGGGATTTGAAGACAGGTACCCCAAAACACCTGTGAAAACCTTGAATCCAATATGGCTGCCAAACCAAGTAACCAATGACCAAAGTCAAAGAACAAATAATGTCAAACACCTAAAGCAGCAGATACATGCAAAATTTGAAAGTAATCAGACAAACAGTTGCGAAGCAACAGGGCAAAAATAAAGCTTAAAAAAAATACTTGTTTTTCAGTTATCTGCCCTTGGTCTTTGGGCCTACGGCCTTGGGATTTTTTTCTTTTCTAGTACTCGACCGTCTTCATGCACATACAAAATTTCAACTAAATCGAGCCAGTGGTTACTTTGCTAGCTCTGGTACAAAAATCAGCGGAATAATAATAATAGATAAATCAGCCAATTACAATACGGCTTCCAGCCTTTCGGCTCGGAGCCCTAAAAATGTCAAATTTCTACTAGTCCTTATGATACCTTCACTATTAACTATTTCACAGTTTGGCAGGGACTACAGTGGCAATTTCTAACACTGAATATACATGTTGAGCCCCACTACTTATTGTAGATGTATCAATTTTCATAACATTTGGAACAAAAAAGGCCTTAAACAGGTTTTTCAATATGGTTGCTGTGGCAGCCATATTGGAAGTTAGACAGGACCATGTTGAACAAATTGGGTTGTCATCATTGGCGGGAACAAGTATGAGAAGTTTGGTTTCATTGATCCAGTGGTATTTAAGGAAAAAGTGTTGATGATTGACAATGCATGACTCACCAGAAGACGACAGACTAACAAGCCACAGCGATACTGCACTTGACTTTCAGTCAGGTGAGCTAAAAAGGTGTCACCCAACAAAATCACGTACCTATTTTAGCCAGTGACACACGATCAGGCAAAGACATAGTCCTGGCATACTCCTGTACATCTGGGATGTGGGCAGCATCCAGCAGGTGATGAGTTGGGGCCAGAGGGTGGGTCACTCCCGGAGAACAGGACTCATCACCATGATGTCCCCAGCTCTTGTCTGTGTCAGTACTCTTGCTCTTCACTATTCTCTTTGTGGGTGGGCGTTCCACTGAACAAGTTGATGCTTGCCCAGAACTTGATGATAACATCCTCTTTGGTTTGGATCCTGCAAAGCCTGGTTGATATGAGCCACTATCCATAAATTCACTGTTACTGTCACCAGAGCCACACTTACTCAGTGTGCACACTGCTTCCAACTTTGAAGAAACCTCACTCTGGACTTTAAGATTAAACACAGACTGCTTTTTGTCCTGAAATATTGCATCAACTTCATCCTCTTTCTTGTTGGTAAGGTCGATACCATTAATCTTCTGAATCCTATCAAGATTCTTCAACTCTCCAACTTGCACAACACAGGTTTCTCTCACCACGACCACCACAGTGTTGCTGGTGTCTCGTGATGCACTCTGCAACAGAATGTACCTCTATACAGCAAATTTTTTCTCTAAACTCAAATCATTGGAGTCCTACTGATCTCCTTCCCATCCCAAAACCGGTGAACATACAACAACCCAGACTGACTTCCCAGGAATAACCTTAACTAGTAACCATGTGTACACATGTACTGACTTCCCTAGATTAACCTTATCTAGTAACCATGTACTGACTTCCCAGGATTAACCTTAACTAGTAACCATGTACTGACTTCCCTGGATTAACCTTATCTAGTAACTATGTACTGACTTCCCAGGATTAACCTTAACTAGTAACCATGTACTGACTTCCCTAGATTAACCTTATCTAGTAACCATGTACTGACTTCCCAGGATTAACCTTATCTAGTAACCATGTACTGACTTCCCTAGATTAACCTTATCTAGTAACCATGTACTGACTTCCCAGGATTAACCTTATCTAGTAACCATGTACTGACTTCCCTGGATTAACCTTATCTAGTAACCATGTACTGACTTCCCTAAATTAACCTTATCTAGTAACCATGTACTGACTTCCCTAGATTAACCTTAACTAGTAACCATGTACTGACTTCCCTAGATTAACCTTATCTAGTAACCATGTACTGACTTCCCTAGATTAACCTTATCTAGTAACCATGTACTGACTTCCCAGGATTAACCTTATCTAGTAACCATGTACTGACTTCCCTGGATTAACCTTATCTAGTAACCATGTACTGACTTCCCTGGATTAACCTTATCTAGTAACCATGTACTGACTTCCCTGGATTAACCTTATCTAGTAACCATGTGAACACATATCAGGACATGCTTCTGAAACTTGGAAACCAAAATACAGGAATTTTATGAGTCAATCTACAGTTAGTGACCAGAAACCAAGGAACAGATGCTGGTTGCCTAGTAATCCATTCCAGTTCACTGCCAAAGACTTATATATATATTTACCCAAACAACAGCAGAAATGTATTTTCGTTGTTAAACTGCAATGCCTCATGGGACTCATCAATTAAAACCTAATAAAAAAAATGGTCTCACAGTTGTTCTAACAAGGCAAATGAAGCTATGTTTCAGAGTGAGTGAGTGAGTTGGGTTTAACGCCGCTTTTAACAGTATTCCAGTTATATCACGGCGTGTCAACTTAATGTGGGAGGAAAGCCCGAAGTGATGCAGGTCTCAGACGTTTACGACTTCGGTGAAACCCAAGAGCACGGGTATGGTGCTGACAAACCTTGAAACATAATCGGGGCGAACCGGGATTCCGGGAACCCACAATCATAGGTTTCTGGCGTGGCTAAGGGACGCAACTCTGCACCCGTGCCCCCCTATGTTTCAGAAGAAACAGCCATAAATCTTTAAAAAATCAGTAAATTTCTGTGTCAAGTGGGTTCATATGTATCTTCATACCAAGGTTTACCACAGCGAATTAGTACCCAATAAAATTTTCAAAAAGCAACAAATCTGCACAGCAAAATTGTTGGGGAGAAAGTGGAAGTCATGATGGAAGTCATATTGATTGATGAAATATGTAAGTCCAAATATAACATTTTGACTATGGCTGCCATTGTGGCCATTTTAGTGGTTTCTGGGGAGATGAGGACAACGTGAAAGTACTCAGGTGAACAGATGAACTCTGTTCAGGTGAGCTAACTCTTGAACTCGATGAAAACACCACCATATGACAGCTCTTTTTATGACCACCTCACCTATTCTGAGATGTTGTATGCAGGTTGCATTTATCTGATGGCTGTTTTACAGAAACCCTTTTGTGTGTAAAGCCTCATCAAAGAACTTTGTTCTGTTGGGAAGGTTAAACAAATGGCAATTTCAAACACAATTATTTGTAAAGACTGCCTACCTGAACTGTCTTGAAACGAAGTCCTAGTTTCCCAGCCTGGCCACGAAGTACTTTTACTTCCCGTGGATCCGACCACTCCAGTGAGGAAGGGTCTAGGTAGAGTTTCTTCAGGAGTTGATGTGGGTCTGTGCCCATTCTCAGGTCTTGGCTGTTGTTTTCATTTTGTTTCCTGTTTTGTCAACCTGTAAACATGAGAAAGAAACCCAGTGACATTTGATCCTTACATTTTTCTAATGCATACACCTATTTAAACAATTCAGTCTTCGGAGGTTACTCTCTCAAATTCAGACATTTTGGGATACCTAACTATCTGAAATAACCAATTCCCACTGTTTAGACCAATATAAGATCAACAAAATTCCAAATCACATAATATGGCCGACTTTGGAATAATGTTTAGGACATGAAATATTTTCTGATGTTGTTCACTAAAGCTTAGCATGAAGGGACTTCCTGGCCCAGACAATGATGACATCACTTTCTGTCATGATGACATCACTTCCGGTTCCAGTGCAGCTGTGGGAAGTTCTCACCACCCCAGAGATGTGGCTACTATCTTTACCTGATGTCTTACAGGTGATGAAAAGCTGCTTCCTGTGCCTCCTATGTGGTTGGTCGTGCCAGGTAAAATCGAAGTGCACAAACAGGACAGAGATGACGATCTGGAGGTTCTATGTTTTTGCTGAGTGCAGGGATTTTGTAATGTTTGTGTCCCACTTTTCCATGATCTGAGGATTGGTTCTTGGCAACAAACTCCGGAAGTGTCCTTTATCGAAACTTTAATTATATCATTTTCTGACGAAGGCTTGCAAAAGATAAAGATGCATTTTCTGTGTTTTTGATAATGAGTAACAGTGATGTCATATGTCAGAGATCTTATGGGACATAGTAGCCGTCTGGATAATCCACAGTTCTTCCCAAAGCATGGAGAGTGTACTGTCTATGCCCGAATGGTCCAAATGTCACTATTTCTGTCAGGGATTACATAAAGCCACGCTTACTAAGTGAAATTATGAGTACATCCTTCAAGGTATAAACTAGTGACATAAAAATCCTAAGAACTAACATTCACTTTGTGTGAGTTCATTGGAGTATGAACCTTCATACAGTTAGGGCCCAACATTGTATGAAGGTTATTGCTACAGCATTTATACAATTTGGTTCTCAATCTATGAAGGTTCAAACTCCAATGAAGTTACACAAAGTGAAAGTCAATTCTTCAATCACCAAGCTATTTTTGCAATAGTTGTACCAATATTTCTAATACAACAAATGCACTCATAGTCACTCCATTATCATTCGATTTCATCTGCTTAAGACAATCACCTTGCAATGGATGATCATGATTCCATTAAACCAAATCAGTTTATTGTTTAGTTACAACATAAAATTGCACCATGCTCACAGTCATCATAAACACGCAAAACAAAGCCTTTTTAACAAACAAACAGGAAAAATGTATCCTATTCCATCCAGAAGACCTCATCATCCCGAGGCAAGGGAATTAAATGTCTGTAACATTTAAGTTTCCACCCTTGCCGAACTAGGCTGGAATTTCTGGGCTCAATTGTAGCGCTACCAGTGGCTATTACAAGTTATGTCCCTTCTTTGTCCCTCCTATTGACCAATCAGATTCAACCTCTCATCATGCTCATATCACTTGCATTTGCTTCAAATAAATTGGAGTCCCCCCAGTGAAGACGATCTGATCGATAATCAAGATCTATAACAATATTGTAATCAAGGGGGTCTTACATGGAGAAGTGCATCAAATCACATGTGTACTCTGATAAAAATCATGAAAAGATTTGGAACATATCTGTTGACACTAAGTTGTCGCTACACATGCTTTTTAATCAAGGTGCTCACATGATTTGATGCACTTCACGAAATAAAACCTGTCTTATTACAATAGAGATCTTGATTATCGATGAGATTGTCTTCACTGGGCGACACCATCGATCAGACCAGGATAATATTAACATTATACAAACTGACTAGAACTTGTCAGATAGTACCAATATTTATCCCTGCTTACCCACATGCATCAGTTTAAATATCATAATCAGGGCATAATCATTGACCGTTCTCTCAAGATGTGACATGGCAATAAAACATGCAGTTTTCTTGAAAACTTATTATAAGAAAAGGTAAGATACATGTTCTAAAAACATTTTATGTGGTAGGATTTGTAAAAGATACATGAAAACATAAAGTGTCATGTCTGTAGAGCTACCCATGCCTCAAAAATGGATATCGATGTACCTGAAAGCTTAGTTGCTAACCTTGGTCTTTAACTCATTTTTTCCTAAACCTTTTCAAATCAGGGCCCAATCATAAAGGACCCGTGAAGATCCGTGGTAGAATAGGTCTTCAGCAATCCATGCTTGCTGTTTAAGGCAACTATGCTTGTCATAAGAGGCAACTCACAGGATCTGGTGGTCAGGCTCGTTGACTTTGTTGATGCATGTCATCGATCCCAATTGCATGGATTGATGGTCATGATATTAATCCCTGGATTGTCTGGTCCAGACTTGATTATTTACAGGCCACCGTCATATAGCTGAAATATTGCTGAATGCGGCGTTAAACAAACCAACCAACCCAATCATAAAAAATGTATATACTAAGCGTTAATTATAAATGCATTTACATCTATTTGAGAAAGTGTAACCATACAAATCTTTGTGACCTTGACTTGTGACCTTTGACCTTTTTGGCACATATACAAAAATAATTCTTCAGTGCCATTTGGCATGTTTTGAAGATAGTCCATAGTAGAATAGTACAACTAGAACAGTGTTTGCATGAACATATGCCTAATGTTCAACTTAATAACAGACAGTTATTTGTCTGCAGCTACCTTAAAAGAGTATAAATACGTGATTAAATCATTCTTAAAGCATATCAAAATAAGTATCTTTAAAAGAAAAATTCCGAAGTCAATATTAGTAGCCCAAAAATGTTCAAAGCCTACATGTATTCCGGAAACTACTGACAGCAAATGAGCAGAGTTGTCATCACGTGACGGGACATCAAAGTGGAGAGTTGACTTGCAGACGATCATGGTTTCTGTATAGTGTTTGGTAGGTTACAAGTGTTCGTCATGGCATCACCAAACAATCACACTGTTGAAAACTATGAATGTTCACTCAATGACCTTACACATATTGGTCCATGTCAATATGGATCAAAATAGTCTTGACAGCAGCGAGGAAAGAGAGTGCCTGCCGCTCTTTTTATGTACACCATTATTTCTTCTTAAATGTTGAATCTGAGTATCAAATAGATTTTATTTGTCTCTTGACAGACCCCAAATCCCACTTCCCAAAAAGTGTTTGGAAGTCTCAGGAAAGCAAGGTGGATCTTGAAGGAAGTGTTTGGCAGTCTCAGCAAAGCAAGGTGGGTCTCAAGTGAAGTATTTGGCAGTTTCAGGAAAGTGAGGTGGATCTCGAGTGAAGTGTTTGGCAGTCTCAGGAAAGCGAGGTGGATCTCAAATGTAGTGTTTGGCTTGTCCACTTGCATCAAATGTGATCTTGACAATATTTCAGCAATATCACTGCAAGGGACAGGAGGCATGGACGTCAGCACAGAGCAAGCAGTAGACCACAGGACCATGTAACTTATCTTCTAGACTTGTATTCTAGACCCGTGAAGATCCAGGGTAGAATAGGTCTATGGTGACTATGCTTGTTGCAAGAGGCAACTAAGATGGCCAAGCTCCATGACTGGTTGATGCGTGTCATTGAATCCCAATTGCGTGGAGGTCAGTTACTGGATTGTCTGGACCAGACTCAATTATTTACCTACCGCTGTCATATAGCTGAGTGCGGCTTTAAACAACAAACAAACAAACAAACAAACAAAATTGTATTCAAGGCCACATCTGCAAGTTTGTTAGTATAGAATATCAGTTACATGGTCTAGTGCACCATGAGGGATAAAAGGTTAACACGCTACTATTGCCATCCAATACTGTGTACACATTTGCATCAAATGGTAGGACTAAATCATACATTCATTGCATGGTGCCAGTCGCCATGCCTTATTTGTAAAAGGTTTGAGAAAAATACATGGGGGCATGAGGATAATTCATCGTTGGAAGGATGTAACCAAACTTGAAAAAGATACTTTACCTTTATCCTGCATATGTACAATGATATGTCTATCCGACCTATTTCCCTATACAGTAGATTGACCCATTTCCATGCATCAAGGTATGGCTGTCGAGAGGGGCAAAGACAGGCATATAGCATATCGCTATGTGGGAAACATTGACAGTGTGAATAATTGACGTGTCAGGCTACAGGAGTAAACATTGGGGAGGTAACTCTGATAGAGAACCAGTATGGTTCATGGTTAAAGGGAAACAACACTCCAACTCTCCGTTGTCTAGTCGGCGCCATTTTAATTACCCTGCACAACCAGATGCCACCTCCTTAACAGTGAGGGGGAATCCCATAGAATACCTGTATTTAATTGGATGATTCATACTATAACCTTGCAACATCCGTCTGTGTGTGTATTTGTGTTTGTACAATTATGTAGTTTAGAATACAGCAAATACGTGTATGTATTATTTATGCAACAATGAAGTTAAGTTCAGATTCTCCAAAAAGCTAATCCTTATTTTTCAGGCTAATTGCATATAATACAACAATTACTACTCCCTTCTTGTCATCCATGTTTATGAGTTGCATTTCAATGATTATGTCACAGTTTTCAATAAATATGGACAAATCCAGAAGCAAACATATCGTAGCATATTCTAAAAAATCTCCAACTTGCTGTTTGGCCACTAGAAATAGTTCAACATTTGTAATTCACACACGGTGGACGTTCATGCAAAAGGGTACATTCATGAAAAACAGTGCCATTTTATCTGAAGTCAAGGCGAATCTCTTCTAAAATACAATCGTTTGTGATCAGAAATTTCTATAGTCTTATGGTGAAAGAGTTGTAGGTATATTCACTTAGGTTTGGTTTTGTCATTCCAAAATCAAAAATTACTTGTGTTTTGAAACTTTACCCGTGATTGCCTCTTTCCTCTTGATTTCTGCACGGCCGCACATACATGTACATCTTTGATTTCTGCTAGGATTTAAGTGACAAAAAAATATGGTTAATGATTTGTGTCTTAGATCACTGAATAATATTTGACAATCAGGTATAAAATCAGGTACCTTATTCGACGTAATAAGCGCCCAGGGCGCTCTCAAAATTAGAAATAGCTGGCTCTTATTAAAATATTATTTTGGTGAAAAAAAAACAGAGTTGAAAGATAAATTTCGTGTTCATGTACGACAGATATATTTTTCCAGAATTTAATTGCCCATAATTAAGGTTGCATATAACACACGAGTGCGTATCATACGCGAATAAATAAGTCTTGTGAATATTGATCATCCGGAAGGGGTGCTAATTGGGATTGTTCACTAGCCAATATATTCGCAAATATCGCCGTGGGCGCTTATTAGAGCGGGGCGCTTATTACGTCGAATACGGTATATGTAATGCAAAGCTCCATGCAGTGATATAGGAATCAGTTATTCACAGTAAGAGATGGCATGCAGTGTTGAGAGTATGCAAAGCGCTGTTTTGATTGACAACTTTTGAGGATTGAATAAACAATCGTGTAAGTATTTTATTGATATTTTTAGGTACGGTAGATCAGGGTTCACTCCAGGAAGTTTCTGACATGAGCCCTTCATGTGAAAATTTGAAATATTCCTGAGGTACGCCCATACAGCACAATGTTAAAATGCCTCATCGTATTTGAAATTTTGAGCCTAGAATTATCACTGGTAGATAATCTTATTCAAGTAATACGACATTTTTGATGTTTGTAGGTGAAAATGAGAGTGTCAATGCAGATAAAACTATTGAAAGATGTACACAATTTTCAATCGCGCTGAATGAATGTTGATGCGATATCTATGACAACTATGCGAAAATATCGCGGAATCACTGCCTAAGTCAATCCCTGGGTTATAAATCCAGGTGAGATGTGATGAATGTATTACATGTCATGTAATATGCATGTGGTAGCACAGCAAGAGAGGAATGGTCAGTTGAGCAGCTAAAAAACATTGACCAAAGGATTAACCGATATTACGTTGATTGATAAGTCACATTTAAAGGATTTGTCAAAAGTAAGTGTTTATATACTTGTATGTAGGTTACTAAAGCAGACGGAATACACCCATATCTGGTCATTAAGTGCCTATGTAAAAACAACATACTTTGTTCAAAGGATTAGCTGATAACATGTTGATTGATTGCTCAGTATTATCTACCTAAATGGATATCTGTCTCGGCTGACCAATAAGACTTGACACCTTTGTGAAACACCTGAAACAAACTTACATATCAGTTGAGAGATGAAGACAGGTTATAACATCTCCAAACGCTATAGCTATTTTAGAATATTATATTGTTACAAAGACATATGACATCGAACAAGTATTTTTGTACAGCTTCAGCTGTATGGGATACTGTTCCTTTATGTGGATACTGATGGATACACTCCTCGAACAGGGTAACTGCCCAACAGTATACATATAACTTTTGTCAGTTGTAATTACGATATTTGCATATTGTTTTCATTCATTTGCTTTAGCAAGAACACGAGAATCACCGGTAGATTGGTAGAAAATATGCGTACAGCTGGTTGCTATTTCTGGCTAAGTTTACGAGAAAGTACACTGAGCACACTTTCAAGTCATGTATGCATTAATCAACAACAAAAGCAGAAGTCAGTTTGCTGCAGCTCTATATTGTATACCTTTGTCATGATATACAGATTCTCATACTTCAATCCTCCAATAGGTGTTGCTTTGAGCAGCGAGAATAGTGCTGAACACAAGTGAAACCAGTCGAAATTATAGTCAATCATAAGCAAATTTTGAATTCACGAAGAAAAAGCCGATCCAAAATCATCCATATTTCAATACTTTCAAACTTGGAGTGTTAAAGGGGCACTGATCTAAAGCAATTCCCCGGGACTGGTTGTTGCCTTTGTTATTGTTTTTTCCCTTGAGTACCCGGATGATATAGCAAAATCCTAGACTAGTTCGCGACCTGTGCTGCACCATTTGTAAGCGCATATGTCACTTTTAATGATAGTATAAGGGTGTATGGTCGCATTGATCAACAAAATGAAATACAGTTTTGGAAATAAGGAAATGTAGGTATCTTTGTGGGTAACATCGGTAATGGTGACGAAGTTTTGATAAAACACTTGCTTGGTAATTGTGCGATTTTGTTTACACTATTTTGACTTGCAACACCAAGTAAATATTTCTCCTGAACATTGCTTATTTTATCGTGTTTATATTTTTACAGTCAAAATGAGCAATCAATCAACGTATAATCGGTTAACTCATTGAACAAAGTATGTTGTTTTTACATCGGCACTTCATGCCATGATATGAGTGTATTCCCTTTGTTTTAGTAAACCTAGACATGTAAACACTCACTTTTGACATATCCACTGTGCAAGTTAACAGTGATTAATCAATCAATGTATTTTCTGTTAATACTATGATGACAAGGAACGATCCGTTGATTTACAAAAAAGTAAATAAACTAAACATTCATTTCCTGCTGGGCTGTCACGTGCATATTACATAAGACAAATTTCACCTCACTACAAACCTGGATTTAGATTGAATAATTACCCCAGACACAAGAAATGCCAAATGGGAACCTTTGTCAGGTATTCTGAGTGGTGCTACCACTAATTATACCTGTAATAAATTCATTAACTGAGCATCAAGTGAATGACGACAAATACACAAGTGTAGGGTTATACCAGAAAACGTGGATGACAACAAGGGAGTAGTAAACGTATTATCGATGCAATCCGAAATACGAAAATGCTTTCACTGCATGGATACTTTTTTTTATTATTAAACTATAACAATCAGGGGTATTTCCAAATGGCGACATCTGATGAGCTCTGCCATTCTTTTTGTCAGTTTGTTTAGGCTGAAGAAATTAATTAACATGCACCCTTTGTTTTATAGATCACAGTTAACCAATCAGTGTTCAAAAATGAGTAAAACAAATATTGCCTCCAAGTTTATATGACGTTTGCAGACGGTAGCCCAGTCTCTTGTCACGCTCAGTTGTGTTGCGTATCACCCGGGTACTCACGGGGAAAAAACAATAACAAAAGCAACAACCAGTCCCGGGGAATTGCTTTAGATCAGTGCCCCTTTAATGTTTCCCTATAAAAATAACATACTCACAACGCTGTGGGTTTCAATTTTAACAATATCTGCATGTCTGCACAGGTCTATTTCATTAATATTTCAACAATGTAGCTATTACTTTAGAAAATATTAATTTTGAAAAAATATTAATTACTTTACCACTATAGATATCCTGCCAACACATCAATCTGTGGTACCCCCCAATCCGTGGTATTTTTTAATGCGCACCATGCACAGATTTGCGCCCCCTAGCGATTGTTTTACATTGACAACTCGATCGTGACAACTACGAGCAAAAAATGTTCAGAATTGCATCTATTTGCGTAAGTACAGCTTTATATTACGAGAAACTCACTAAAATTAACCTTCTGCACGTAATGCACTTTTTGTACCAATATGAAAAATGAGATCGTAAAAAATATTCAACTCGTAAGTTCAGCAAGAGAAGTTCATCTGCTAGCTAATGTAAACAGTAATGTGTATCACGTGACTACTAAGGGGAATATCTGCTCAATTTTAAAAACTATGGAAGTTGAGTAGGGCCATATCTTATATCGTTTATCGTGGTATGTAGGATAATCCTGTGAGACGTATACGACAGTACCGGACTTAAAGTCCAACACAACTGAAAGATGTCTATCTGGAAGTAGTTGAACAAGGTTCTTCTGTCTAGAAAGCAGCCAGGAAGAGTACTCTGTGCCTGGCCAGACTAGGAGAGTCAGAACTAAAGGCATAACTTCCCCACAATGTTTGTCCTCTGGACAGGCCCATTATTTTCCCAAGAAGGTGAGGTGAGGTGAAATGGGGTTTAACGTCGCGTCCAAGATTATTGCACTTATATAGCGACGTGCATGTACGTGTATGTGTTTGTGTGGCTGCTTGTACTAGTCCGGACTGATGCCGATTTATAGTGCTAGCTCACTGAGATACCATGCTGCAGTTTAACATGAATACCCCACTCAGACACAGTATACTGACTCCGAGCCGACCAGTCCTTGTTTTAGCCCCTTAATGCCGAGCGCCAGACAGGGTAACAACAAGTACCATCTTTTAATGTCTTTTGGTATGACGCGGTCGGGGATTGAACCCCGGACCTTCCGCTCTCTGTGCGGACGCTCTACCACTAGACCACGGAGGCGGTCTTTCCCAAGAAGAAGAAGCACGCCTTGTCGACCACATAAAGCTTATGGCCTCAGTAGGGTATGGATATACCAGGGCGCAGGTTATCTGTCTTGGAACTGACTATGCCATAAATCTCAAGAAACATAGTAATTATTCCAAATCACTATCACTGCAGTGGTTTGGGGGTTGATGGGAAGATGGCCTGAACTGAAGTTGCGACGACCAAGGGGATTGTCTCAATTACGAGCCACTGCCACATCTGAGGAGAGCATTAACAAGTATTTTTCTCAACTTGAAGCAGTTCTTGACAAGTATGACCTAAAATCAAGCCCAGAGCTGATCTACAAGGTTGATGAGAAGGGAATTAATCTCACACATTCTTCACCGCAAATCGTTGGATCTGCAGACGAGGTTCCAATAGAAATCTGCCCAGAGAAACCCTCTACAGTTACTGTTTTGGGATGCGGCAAAGCTTTGGATCAGAAGATTCCACCTTTTTTCATTTTCCCTGGTTCATGCATGCACGATGATCTCTTAGATGGTTCGACAGTTGGAACATGTGGAACTGTTAGCGAGACGGGATGGTCCAATACAGAAATATTTCAACGATGGTTGACAGGCCATTTTGTGAAGTATGCCAAAGTCGGAGGTGACTCTGCTGCTATATGACGGCCACAGGTCTCACATCACCCCTCATCTCACAGATTACGCTGTTGACTACGGGATAATCCTGTTTGTTCTACCGAGATTTTCAGTTCAGAATGTAGGAAATGGCAGCGGTAAAATTCTGGAACAGTTAACAGATATGGTGTCTGTTCTTTGGCCTGTGAGGCATACAAGATTTCTGTCTGCCAGTTACCTGCACAGTGCTTTCAGGAAATGTGGTATTTATCCATTTGACAAGTCATTCCTGAAGCCATCTATGTTTGCCAATCAACAGGCAGAAAAAGCATCAGAAATTTCAAGACAAGACGTTCTATCCATAAGATCGTTGGTGGACAAGCAATTACTGAACCAGATATTTCATGTAAAGTCATGGCTTACATCAACCAGTCCAAACAGTCAACAAAGCAAGGCATCAAAATCAACTGCGAAGTCAAAGACAACTAAAGTGAAAACAGATAACACGACTAGCAAGTCTACAGGAGACAAGGATAAGCAGGACAATATAAGGAAATCAGCTACACGTCACACTGTTTTGTCATCCCAACAACCAGAACCATCTGGGATTGATAAGCTCTTTATCTCAAGCGACAATCAATCAGATTCTGAATCTATCAATGATGTTGACGACAAGTGTTGTGTGTGCGAAAAGTTTCAGCCAGATGAATTGAGGCGATGTCCACATGTTGAGTTCACTAAGTCATGTAAGTGGGGACAGTGCATACATGGGAATTGTGAACTGGGTAAAATACTGTTGTGACATCTCCTTTCTTCGCCAAAATGATGTGTTTTTCTGTCCGTGTCACTGTCTACCTTGCAAACACCAAGAAGAATAAGGACGTTCGTGATGATCATGATCGTAAACTGCAAATAATCTGAAAATTTGTGTTCAAGTGACAGTCATATTTCATAATTAAGTACAGAAGTATCTGTATTTTGTTACGTTTGGAAGTGCCTTGGGAACATAACTTTCGATTCAAAAGAACTTTGACATTGTGGCATGTGCTAACCACCCATTGCTTGACCCGATGAACTTTACAAGGGTAACATGAGACGTCACTACAAGTTGTGTAGAAAAGGCCGCTATTGTACAGCAGCCGATACGGAGGCATTTGTGGACAAAATGATGTTCCTTGTAATTAAATTGTGTAAAGGTGAGTGTTCTAACAATTTATTTCACATTCATTGCTTGTAGAAGTCAGCGGTTTGGTTTATTGTAGTGCTTTTCTCAATATCACGAAACGTGTCGCGAGGGTATATCAATGTCAACAGTATAATGTATAACACTATGATTGTGTCAACTTATACCCCATGGTCCTTATAAACAATAACAAACAAACCAGGAATTCATTGACGTGAAAACATATGAGGCCTATTAGTTTTATTTTCATATTTAAACTAAAATGTGCCATATTCACCATCCTGATTCTGAAGGTACCACAAATTACAATTTGTTTTATCTTCTGGGTTACACATGTACGCTTTTAGACCAGTCCTTGCATCAATAGGTAGGTATGCTACAAAATATCTTTGCGCCGTGTTGATCCTTTGCATCAAAGTTATCTTGTCAGTAGTTCATGCGCAAAAACAAGAACTTCGTAATTTCATAACAAACCGGATGTTGCCGTTTCCTACCAATGCCATCCATGTAAAAATATTAACTACCTGCAACACCAACATGGCTTGCTTTGTTAATGATGACAGTGGCCATTAAATCAAAAAGACAAACACTCACGAGCAAGTTACTGACGACCGAAAAGGAAATATGGAGATGTCTGTCATATTCTTGTTAGACGACAGTCGTGAATCGTAAACGCCGTCGAGCTTCCTCTTCCGGTACTCAAAGAAGACTGGGCTCCATGTTTACATGTCGCGCCAAGCTCCTCGCAGCGATAGCCCGTGTGAAACGAAGGTGTCACGCGCTGGGAAGGAAGGAGCTTGATCTCGCGCCCTCAAGCGCTAAACTGGTTCCCGACTCTTTCTCTGCGTGTCGTCTTGTGCAAATGTTATTGTGAAATGGAGAGAGACACCGCATTACAATGGGAAAACCAGTTGTGTTGGTAACTATACGAAGCACGTGTGCTGCGAGGTGAGACTCATAAAATATATGTCTGTCTGTGTTTTAAAGAGGTCACTAGTTTTCACACTTTCCTAGACCGTGTGCATGTGTGGAGAGCCAGAAATTTCATTTTGGTCTAAAAAATGGCAACAAATGAAAATGGCTAACATTTTAAGAAAATGTTTATTTAAATTAAACCATAATATTTGTGTAGCATAACAGCAGTAATCCAGGGCCAATTTTGGTGCATATTCATCTAAACTGAATTTTGGGAATAGAAAAATGACTTTGAAATGTGGCGAAAATGTCCATTTTGGGGGGGATAAACTGTTGGTGAGGGCCGTCCCTCTATTATATGGTCTCTGGGGTAAGTTAATAACTTATGACACATCTGAGCTTCCAGGCACCGTTTCTAGTACAGCATCAACTGTGCCTGTCAGTATGGGCTTGAAATGTCTTACCTACAACAACAAAATGTGAAAAGAAACATAATGAATCTGTATTAAACTTTCTTTTGTCTTTCAACAGTTCTTCACAGTACTCCAAGTCATTTTTCATGCTTTTCTCTTTTTGTGCTGCCTCTTCCAATGCGCAAATAGAATCTTCCAAAGCTTCAGTTGACATTTCGATATATTCCTTTGAAGATTTCAGCTCTTGTTGGTTGTATTCAAATTCCTTCCAAATTTTCTTGACTTTTGAAGCATTTTTGGCCAGGCTGGTTTTTAGTTTGAGCATGGGCACTCTTTTCTCTCCTGTTAAGGCTGAAATATTTTTCTCTCATATTTGGCTTAAGGGTTTCCAATTTCTGTCTCTTTACAGCAAATTCTTTTTTATTTTATTTTTAAATTGTAATTTTCCCTTTCTGGAGATATCATTTTTTCTTTCTTGTTTTGCATTTGTGGGTTTAACTTGCTTACTTCATCCCTTAGGCTATTAACTTCATGTCCAAGGGCTTGCAATGTCATAATCTGACCTCATTCTCTCAGGAGTTTGTACTGGCACAATGAAATGCTCAGCTCTATATTTTTCCTTACCTTTTCCTTTTTTTCTTTTTATCTTCTTGCTGTATTCGGTGTAACTTACTCATTAAGGCATTAAAATTAAGCTGCTGAAGGGGAACATTAAAAACCTGTCCAACCCACGTAGCAAACGGTTTCCGGGGGCAAATTTGTGAATTTCACATACTTACCCATTTGTTTGAAATTTAGTCGGAGCTACACTCACATCAAGCAGTGCGTTCATGCTGTCAATAAGTTGCATCTGTTCAAGTAATGGGAACGTTTTTAAACTTTACTGCTTATTTTCCAAACTTTTTCTTTGCTTTTTCAATGCTACGTTTCTTGATCTTGATCTCAGCAATGAAAAGGAACCAGACCCAATAATACTACTAATACTGCTGAATTGAACAAGTGATGCAATGTTTCTCTTGAATAAATTTTTCGCTCACTAAGTTCACACTCAAAATGATAATGAAGCCACTGTGCAACCTTATTATTTTCTGACAAACATTGAGCATAAATTGATGTTACAGATTCACAATCTCTCAATTTTCTGTAAGTTTCAAGAAGATTATTCCAATCATCCAATTTGCCCCACCCCATCCCCCATGATTCAGATTGGTGTTCAATATGTCATACAAGTTCACTGTACTTTACATTAATTAAAACATACATTTAGTTATTTATTGTAACACATATATATGACATCATAATTGTTCCTCCTACCTACGTTCTTTATTGATAATAAACATGTTTCAGTCACAAACACATGACATTGACAATGTGAAATGGTTCAGCCTGACAGTTATTTTAGTATTTTTAAAACTTTAAACTGTCAACGCAAAAAATACCCCAATGTCATAAATATATTCTCCCATACAACCTTCTTACATTTACTGCCTTTAAATTACGAGGATTGTTAAAAACAAATACTGTAGTGTTTGTGAAACATGTCCAAAGGGAAGTAACTGCATAGTTATGTAAAAACTGCATACTGCTAATAGAAGTAGGGTGAGGTCAGATTTAATTATTTTTTGATATATTGTCCCTTATTAATTACATCTGGGGGCACGGGTGGCCCAGTCGTCTAAGGCGCTGCAAATCGCTGTGCAGAGTTGCGTCCCTTGGGCATGCCAGAAACCTATGATTGTGGGTTCGAATCCCGGTTCGCCCCAATTATGTTTCTAGGTTTGTCAGCACCATACCCGTGCTCGTGGGTTTCACCGAAGTGGTAAACGTCCGAGACCTGCATCACTTCGGGCTGACCTCCCACATTAAGCTGACACGCCGCGATATAACTGGAATACTGTTAAAAGCGGCGTTAAACCCAACTCACTCACTCACTATTAATTACATCTACAACACACTGAAAATTATAACAAATAACAGCAGAAGAGAATAAACCTATTTACAATCGCGTATTCGGCTGTATTGATAGTTTTAAGAATAACTGTTGACTTCATCAAAGTAACTCAACTTCGAAGAAAATTCTAAAAATAGCAGCTTATGAAATACGCATGCAACCTTTACCCTAGTAAAGTTTGTGATGTACGCTGATTTTCACGCTTTCTGTTTAATCAATGAGTTTAAAGATGGGACTTTGAACCGACCCTCTGAGGGTGTGGTAAACCAGCTTTGAGAATAATTGCAGGAAGAGTTACCTCCTCTTGCCGGGATCATTGCTCCAGTTATACAGGTTGCGAATGACTAATGTGTGAGCAGTCAGGGTGGCCTCTCTGGGATGTGGATTTTCAATTCCTACTGCAGGACCCGGTTTTTCGCGTGCGTGGGCAAAGTCACTGAAGCGCGTGTAAAAGGACTTTGAATGTCCTGTGTATTGGTGTCACTTCATCGTTAGCGCTTGGTTGATTCCCGGCCTTCATTACCACCAGGAGGCTCGTTTAGGTGTCTGTGGCCTGTGCGGTCAGCGGGTGAATGTGGATACATGGAAAGACGTGTGTGTACTTGAATGTGTGTGATTTAAAATTAACTTGTTGCACTATCAGGATTGTTTGAAAATTATTACGTGAACTTCACGAGTTTAGTGGTTTATCTATTCATCATAGCACACAATGAATGGTCTACGATTCAATACGACATTCAGTAGATGTTGAGAGTTCACACAAGTGTGTGGGTATTTCCTATATCAATTACCAGTATTTTCTTGAGTATAGTGCGCAACCCCCTCTAGCGGATTCAGTATTTTAGGGGGAAAAATCGAATGTCAAGTGCAGAAATAAATTACACTGTAGATCTACCCCTTCAGCGAATTCCGGTAAACGAACGGGTGATGAGAAACTTGGTCAGTACAAATTCAAAATTTGAGATAAAAAATCACCAGACAAATTTATTTACCGTTTAAATTGTATTTTTTGTTCTGCCAGGCATTGTTTTACATCCAGGGATTAAGATTACCTTGTGTATTTTCTCGTAAACTAAGCCGGACACAGCTATCAGCTGTACACACGTTTTCTTGGAATCTACCGGTGATACGGTCAAGACACACCCAATGATATATAACTTTACAGTATTTTAATGCAAGGATCGGCAAAAATTGTATCTGAAACTATTTTTTATCAGTAATTATATATCCCAATATCTTGTTAATTTAGTTGCAGCTTTTACTAAACATATTTTAAATAATAATAACCCTAAGCGAAGCAGCTGATCGCTATTGCCGGGTAATAATTTTTCACATGGAACCAGTCTGACCAGTCACCGTCAAGGCTCTCGCGCACGTGATCGCGAGAACTACGTGTTGACATAGAATCGTCAAACTATAACAAATATGACTTTTAACGAGTCAAAGTATGGCATTTATGATATATGTATCCATTCTCTGTCAATTAAAGTTCGTTTCAAGGCGTCAATAGCGGTAATCTGACCGTGGTCGCTGTTAATAAAAGGTGAGTTGCGCGATCTTCCGCTCCCTTCGCCGAAATTAATTAAAACAATATTTAAAGGAATTTTGAATAGAATTAATGAAATAAGTAACATACATAAGTCCAGATATAAAAAAAACAACACTTTTTATAGCCAGACAGTGTAATTACATTATTAATTTGCGTACTTTAGTATGGAATTGTTGACATGGTATTTCCGGTGTTACGTGCCACGGCAATATCTTTCCATGGGGGGAAAAAAATCATCAAAAGTCATTATTTCGTGTATATTGCGCACCCTCTTCTACACAGCTATGTTTTTTGGACAAATATTGCGTACTATACTCAAGAAAATACGGTAGCAGCTGATTAGTTATTTCATCCACGTCATGGAACAGTTAAGGCATATCGTTTTGATCGTTTATTTGAGGATGTTAGAAATAAAAGTCAACGGAAGAAATCCGTACGCCTGTTGTCTTGTTTCTTTGCTTTATGAAATATTTAGTCCCACCAAATATATATGTTCATTCTGAAATCGTGTTCAGATGTCATCAACAGCTCCATTTATTAGTGAACACGAACAATAATAATTATGGGATACATCAGCATCACAAAGAGCACCACGTGTTTCAGGCGGGTGTTTGTTGCAAGTTCAATTGCGCGTGTTATGGCAACAATCTGTTGAATAAGCTATAATTTACACTATAGCAATTGCAAGAATAATAACATTAAGTATAAATATAAATGGGGAAGAAAACATGATCTTATTCAATGACAAGACAGATCGTTTACGTACTTGTCCGTTGTCGACAGGTCGGAATTCGCTTTATGCAAATATTTTTACCCGGGCATAAATTCCATTGGCTAACTTGGACAGTATGTTTTTCTACAC